CTAACTTACAAAATCAAATTTTTTGAGATTCTTTTACGTTTATTTGTAGATCATTCATATAACCAAATATTCACAAATTACATATTAGTCATCGTTATAAAATCATAAAAATATTTTATGACTAACCGATTCATCACTAAAATTCTATGACATTCCTACGCGCTATGCGATAATTTCGTGCATGTATGTGTATATATGTGTGTGTAATATATTTTATATGTACCGTACAGTACGTGTGTGTATATATATATATAATATAAACACATGTAAAGTACAAATATAAAAATATACATATAAATTTGAATGTAGAACTGTTAGAGAGATCTACTTAAAAACTTAAGATTATTAAGTAAATTGCTTATAAAATTTCAATTTTTATTATTAAATAAATATACGATAAAAGTATTTTTTTATATTAAACAAATATAACTCATTTATTTACATTTTAATTTATTAAAACTTTAATGCAAAACTGAAAATATAAACTATTCATCTTATTAATTAATAATAGTAGCAATAAAATGAACGAGATTATAATTTTATTTTTGAAATACTTCTTCAAATATTAAGTTTTATTGTTTTAAAAAAATGCTATCATTTAGTTATTCATTAATTATTAAAATATAAGCACATACTGTACATAAAAGCTTTATATGTGGAAATATCAAAACACGGTTTTATAAACTTCATATAAATAAAATTTCGTGTATAAGTTAGAAATAGAATAGAATTGTTAGAATGAAATAGTAACAATCAGAATTGTACGAACCACCTCATTCAATTTATTTAATATTTTTAACCGTAATAGAATTTTAAGTGCAATGTTTTGTAAAACGTCCTTCTAACTAAATAGCTGCGATTTTGTAAAAATTTTAATTGGTTATATCCTACTAAACTGGCTTCATTTAAATAAAAATTTTTCAATACATTATTTATATTGCCTTTATTCAGTTTTCGTCCATTTATTTCTTTATTATTTTCTATCTAATTTATATTAAACTGATAAAATACGATAAAATTTATAAAATAATCATTATCTATTTTATGATTTAAATTGTAAATAATAAAAAATAATTAGACTATAAACTATTATCTTTTTTAATAAATTTTTATTCGCATTTTACTATAACAATATAATTTCAAAATTATTTAATTTGTATAAAAATTTAGTCGCGAGAGATATTAATGGAAGAATTTAGTACATTATTACAACTTTAAAAATTTTAATAAAAGTTTATTTATCAATTCGTATTTAAAATTTTTTTATTATTTTATAATACAAAACAAAAACGTTTATGATGACAAGTCTAATTTTTAAACGGGACAAATTTTTAGTCTATAAAAACTATGGAAAGGACGCAAATAGGACGAAACAGCTTTGTGAATGAGGGGTAAATCTACTTCCTGCCTCACCATCTGCCACGTACTAGTGTAAACAAGGCAGCGTACCCGACCTCGATCTACTACCCGTCATGCACAGCGCGGACTACGTCCTGGCTAATGACGTCAACGAGTGAGTCATCGACTAAAAGTTGACTAGGAACTGCGACAGGCGAACCTGTTGCAGCCAAAAACTCGACAACACAACACACAAACTTCCACTCGTCCAAAGATCAGTCGTTGTCGGATTGGTTAATCTAGATAATATCAAACCATATGGACAAGCTAAGGAAGAGTATCGAGGTAAGCCATACCTTTATGAATATATACTACGCTCTCTCACATCTATCTAACTCGGTGGCAAAGCTCGCTCGGTCCGAGGAAATTTTTGACACGCTCGACATTCCGAATAAAAATTGTGTGCCCTTCTGTAGCTCGGAGAATTCCAGATTTTTAAATAGGGATGTATAGGAAGCGTTGTTTATTTTTCGTTTCCTGTGGTCCTTTTTTAATCGTTTGCATTCTTTAAAATTAATCGATCCAGTACAGAAATAGAATATAGGCTGGAGAAAAATAATGCAAGGACTCGAACACTGTAAGTGGCGATGATTCATACATGTCGCCACTAGCAGATAAAGACGTTACGAAATCATTGTCGCCTTTATAATTCAATGCAGATTAGACTTACGTAAGTTTTTGATTCATAGGTGTTTCGTTGCTCTTATTTCCGACGACAGCCATCACTTGTGTATAACATTTATATCTGCTCCGATATTTACTACATAAAAAATAACATGAGAAAGTAAAGTTCTTACATTAATATCATTATTTTTTCCTTATTATTTATTGCAAGTTTTTAATTTTTTCCCCTAGTGTCACTACTTTCTCGAGTTCACTCTTTTGTGAAAAATAATAAAGGTATAAATAGATGACCAAATTCGCTCGGCTCTTCGGCTTTATTATTATTTTTGATTGTTTTTTCAGTCGTTTTAGTTGATCGGAAAGTGTTATTTTGAGTTGTTTATCTGTTAAAAGTTTAATTTCTTGAACTTTACTGTTGCGCTCTAATATTTCGATTACGTGTCGAGAGATGGCGCGACATAACACCCGAACTTTTCCTCCAATCGAAATACAGTTCCCCTTGTAGTTACGACAAAGTTTTTCTTCGTTTTCGGAGGGTAAACCAATGTTTTAAATTCTCTGTTTCGGTTTATAAAATGGTAAAAATCAGAAGTTACGTGAATAAAATACTTAGTCATTTGTTTCTTAATTTATAGCTATAAAATTATAAGTTAAATCTATTGTTATACGTTAAGTACTGGAATGACCTTTGACGTTAATATTAAACGTATGGCCTTAAAATCGAGGTCGTGCAAGGTCGCTCTTCAGAAGGTGGACTACAGTTTAGGGATATTTCCCCGGGCGTGACTAATAATGAATGTTTCCTGTAACGAGTCACGTAAATATTCTCGACTTCGACTTTGCCGATTATCTTAGTTTTTCTTCTAATGATCTTTTGTAAATTGAAGGCGTTCATAAAACTTGAGTAATTTTGACTCGCATATAAAAATAGCATCTTGCAAATAATAATACTGTAATACGAAAAGTAATGACGTCATGTAATTCAAGAATATTTAAACACGATTTTTTTTAATGTGAACAATTAATTAGTGATTAATTTCGATAGAGAAAGGTTACAAGATTAATATCGTTACTTTTTTATGCTAAAAATATAATTAGGATAATGATGATTATTAAAGATTAAACTATGAATAGAAACAGTAGTTTTAAGGTAATCTTTTAATTTCTTTCCACACGAAAGAATGCTAACTATTGAAAAAATACTTCAAGCATATGCAAGGCTATATAAGGTTAGATTGGATGAATGTTTTCATGAGCCGTTTCTTTCTTCTTATAAATAATTTAAAAAGTTATAGTGATGAAAATCGATTCATAAATGGATTGTTTTGTTTTCTTTTTGCTGTGAAACAGAGTTTAAAAAATCCAATTCTTAAAAAATGCTTTAATAAGTTAATTATCTTTCTTTTTATCGTTAGTGTATTCCTCGTGGCTCCTAGAATATATCGATAGTTTGTGAAACTAAAAGTGTGTCAATAATAATTATGTTTTGCCAATAAGTAACAATTTCGATACGCAATTTAAGTGCTTCGTTCTTTTCTATTTAAGTCAAGGATGAAAAATCAAATTAATGATAACGACTATTTTACTTGAAAATCAATCTGAAGGTCGGGAGATAAAATCTCATTAAGTGCAACTCTTCGAAATGTTTAACTTGTCGATTATTCGAGCCATTCTATTCTATTGAGCCGCAAAGGTGCTACTGTTAATTTTTGTTTCTTGTTTGATCAAAGTAAATTAATTGATAATTGCTTATTCTAACAGTTCTATCGATTTCCTGAAGAGTGGTCAACATTAATGATTCCAATTTCCGTTTTCCTGATTTTTTTTATAGAAAGTGTTTATTTGGCGTTTCTCGATGCTCTTCTTTGCGCTTTTTAATTAAGAAGTGTTATTGTTTTTATCTATGGATGGACTAGGATAAATTTTTTTAATTCTCTTATAGCATTTAATTATAGTGTAACTCACAAAAGTGTATTTAGGTTTTTGTAAAATCTTTAGGGCCGTAGATTAGATTGTTTAAATATATTATTGATGATCTTATAGCTTACTGATTCATTCAATGAGGGTTCGTCATGATGTATTTTTGTATTGTATTATCACTTACATCATACAATTTTCTCAAAAATATTTCTTCGTAGAACGGAAGATATAACGTGGGAAAGTTGGAAAATCCGGATGGATTTCCTATTATCTTTGTTATTGATTAAAAACACCTGTTTAAGTAATTTTTATTGCATGCGAGTTACGCATTCGATAAATATAAAACAGTTGATCCACACACGAAATCCACAAAAATCGAAATTCTCGAAATACCTTCGACAATTGAATGGGTGGTCTTTCTAAAAAACCTGTTCATTTTCTAAAGAATAAGGGCGGAATTATTTAAAACAATCTTCATAACTTCCACCCGTTTGTATTAAATCTGTGTTTATTCTGGTAAACTACTAAGTTTTTATATTATTACAACCAACCTTCTATCTACATCATAATTACTTAATGAGGGTATTTTGGATTCTTATTTCTTCAATGGACTAAGTCGAAAAAATTTAATTGATGTCATTTCCTCGTCGTAGTGAAAAAATTATATAATGCGCGTACGGTATTTGCATATCAAGGTTATGATGTTTGTAAACGAATGAAGTTAATTGAATTATTGACGTCATTACGCTCGGAGGATAAATGGAACGTTTAAGTTCGCTTGTACTGAAAACGGGATTAACTAAGTATTTTAAATAACGATACTGTACTTGTTTTTATCGAGTATCGTCTATGTGACTGGTATCTTCGCTTGATAATACTCTTTTTTTGGACACAATCCAAGATTGTTGTATCATCGCGTATTGTCTTCCACGAAGACAACTTTTTTCACTCGCGAATTACACTTATATCTAGTGCCATAGTTTATAATTGATTAATTTCATTATTTTTTTCATAGTGTTTTTGTTAAAATTAACTTCTGACGTACTGTGCATTGTTAGAAGGAAACTGAACTTAACAGTCTTTCTTTATAGTACCGAGTAAAAAAAAAATGGGATAGAGAGATTAATGATATATCATTTATAGGATATTTATAACTTTGTATATAATACATTTAAAAATTCTCATCTTGACTAACAAGTAAGTTATACTCGCGAGAAGCAGCAGAATAACTTTTAAAGGACGTTTACCTCAAATATCGTAAAGAATGTTATTGAAATAAGATTTAGATTATTTAAATAATAAAAATATTTTCTTCGAAAAAATGAGTGAAATTTCATGCTTTTCTCATTTTAATGCAAGCACGAAATTGGATAATATATAACATTTAATTACTTTGTATGTATTTTATACGATTATATTTAACGTTATTTATTATTATTATGTTGGATGTTGGATTATTTTCACTTCTCCGAGATTCAGTAAATATTATTGTATGGAAAGACCTTGAAAAGCGGCGATTTGTCAACGTTGCGTCACTTGCAACAGGTCTTGCTCTGGTCTTCCCTGGCCATGAGTCAGGCGGGTGACGATCGGCGGCTGATGGACGGATTTTGAACGCTAGATATGCAAATCGCTAGAGATTTCTCTATGAATGACGCATAATAGATTGAGCCTTCTATTTTTATTTTTGCGATAAATATAGAAGGTTGACGATAAGAGTGTAAAGAGTTTTTCCTCCATAATGCGATACACGCTCTTATCGAATATTAAAATTGATCATTCGAAAATGTTAAATGAGAATTTTGGCCTTTGACAGCTCTCTGGAATAACTATAATCTGTTATTCCAAGTGAATTAATTTTCTTCTGAAGCATAGAATTTTTTTAGGATCGAAACAATTATATTTAAGACGATAGCTAACGTTGTTAACATTTTTTCGTAGTCCGTTTTATAACAGGAAGATTGACATAATTGTGTTTATCACGGTTAGACAAATAGTGAATATTAAGTGAAGCTTTTTATATAATTGTTTTAAATTTAACTTTGGATATTTTGTTTAACAACAATGCGAGGATAATGTATTTCCAACATATTTCATTAATAATAAAATAAAAAAAAAAGCAGGAAAATGTAGGACAACGGCTCAGGTAGAATGATTCATCGAACAGACGCGATAAAGATTGTCCATTCTTTTTTTGTGCAACCTCTTTTCTTATCCCGGAGTGATTCACGCTTCACCTCGATCTGGTAACGTATTTGAACGGAGTGGAGAAATCTACGTCTGGTTGCTAAGGATACGAATCACGTGCCAGAGCTAGCTCCTCGGAGAGCATTTTGCTTCGCTGCAGATAAAAATCCGAAAAGCGATAACTTCGACTGGGTTTTTAAGAATAACGCATTTAAGAGGAATTTATTTAAGTCGCGAGTTTCGAGTGTCGTCGGAGATAAAACTCGGGACGTCACTCACCCGTTACAAAGCAGTTAAAATGCCTTCGGTTTATTCTCAAAAGTGTCATTAATATTTCTCCAATACCGAATGATTCATTTTAAAGTGCTAAACTGTAAACGAAAAGGTGAATCATCCAAATCGTTTAATACTTCTCGCTATCGATTTAACGTGGTTACGATTTTTATTAATAAGGAAACAACCAGATCTGATGTAGAAAAGATAGCGACGTTCAATCGTTAAGCGAATGCTCGGCATCTGAGAAATTGTCTTGCCGATTTTCGGATCAAAAGCTATTAGCTCGTAGGCACAAATCTCGGTCGTTCCGCGGACACCTCGTCCTAACATCATACAATAGTCCGGCCTGTTTGTTCTGATCCCTTAGTCACCCGGGGCTGTGACCTCACCCGACCAAATCCTCGACTCGACTCGTCGATGATTTCATTACTGGTCCTTTCACCTCCTCCCGTAGTGACGTGAGGATGACGTCACCGACGCGGAGTCTCTAAAATCTGTCGTGAGAATGCTTGGATTTGCCATTTAGGCCCGAGAGCACGTGCTGTCTTTGTGGTAACCACGTGGTCGTAGGAAAGGCGTGATTTTTCGTATGAAGAGTCGATAAGGTAGGACGAAATTGCTAAATATTAGAATTATCGATAAATTATCGTTTCTATATTTAATATCTGCTCATTACTTTTTTAAAACTTTGATTTGCGATAAAAAGTAAAGATAAAATTCGAGTAGACTAAGTATGTATGTGCGTTTTATAATTTGTAACGAGGGTAAAACGGTTCTTACAACAAAGAACTTTAATTGTATTTCTGTTTTCGATCCACTTTTTTAAAAATAAAATTATATAAGTTATTAGGAATAATTTGTAAATTACATTAAATGACGATAAAAATTTTAATTATAGTTTCCGAATGATAAAAGACCTAAAAGTCCCGCACGCGTTCAATCTAAATCACTCGTAAAACGCTTTTTCATTGGTCATAAGAAGCGATGACGTCATTTCAACGAATGAGTGGAGGATTTACCCTGAGTCACTAAAAGACAAACTTTTGTTCTGATGATGATCACTCGTCGATTTATTATGATTTAAAACATTGTAGTCCTAGTTGTTTGGATAACGATTTCGGATTTCATTCGGGATTAGCTACGTTAATCACAATTTTCCGTATCGTTGGTGATAACAAGTCGGCAGGAAAGGGTTGTCAGTCCAAAACGCTGGTTCAAAGTAGGTTTTCCCCTTATTACGTACCGAAAACCATTAATTATAGTCTTAAGAGGGCATTAAAACTTTCATTCACGGTTGATAAAATCCTGATAGAATTGTTGGAAAATATTTTTTTATATAGTAATCCCATCTTTCAGCAAGTCCCGATTGCTGCGTTCTGTTTTGAAATTTAGTTGTGATAAGTCCAAGTTGATTTAATGAGTGTCGTAGATTCTTGTGGTCTAATAGCTCTTAACCCCGAATAATCCTCAAAGATTTTAGTACTTATCCGGAAATTAAAGTAGATAATAGGAAATTTTTGAATTTTTCTCGAATACTATCGCTAATTTTCGATTTAGTATATTTATAAAGAATGCATAAGACTAAAAGAAACTAATTTACAGAATAATGAATCTATAACAATAACGAACTTTTAAATATACTGTAGAAGGTATTTTAAACCAATTTTACGAGCAACTTTTACTTTCGATTACAAAATTTTAGCATAATTATCAATAATTTCATGACTTTTGAAGCATAAGTTTTTGGTTTTAATGAAGGTAAACCGTAAATGATAAATTATTTTGAATTTTTAAACTTTTTCTAAAAGGAAAATGGAAGTTTTGTTTGTACGTATTCTTAAGGAAACTTCATTTATATATAAAATAAATGATGCCAAACCTGTAACTATACTTTGTTTGACATTTTCCTAACTGTGGATAATGATGGAAGTTTTTTAGTGTTATCTTTTACAAATACCCTTAGAATTTTTTCGAGTTAAAAATGTGATGTCCCATTCTAACGAGTGCATTGGCGTTTTTAAGTCACAATGACTCATTATAACCATCAGCCATTTACTTGCCAGGTATGGTTGCCTTTCCTGGACGATGTGTTGCTAATTTCTTCTTATGAGTCACGTCCAACACTATGTTGGCGCTCCGGGTGTCAGTTGCTTTTAGTTCTTCGGCTGTCCGCTAGTTTCTCTTGGCGCTTTTTATTCACTCGTTCGCATTGATAAATACCGAATTTGATAATCGGTCAGGTTAGTAATTTAATTGTAGGTTTTGTAATGCGTAAAATTTAAATAACTTTATTTAAATTTTGTGACGGCTTCTGCAATACTTTAAACTGTTTTATTATCGTAACTGTATCGTATTTCCGTTTCATTGGGTTTCTGTTTCCTTACAGATGTTCGCCAGTCTGTAACGTGTAACATATCAACACGTGTACTACAGATCTTCAATTGTTCATGTCTGGTGCAGCGCAATTACAGGTCCTTCGGGAAGTGTCCGGCGGCATGCTACAAGTAAGTGACCAGAGGAGGCAAAGGTTACATTTGGCTCTCAATAGGACGCTGTGTTGTACTTCCTGCACGTCTCCTCCGCCGTCACCTCCTCCTTTAAACGCACCAGTACAAAAGAAGAGTCGGTTAGATCCGATAGACTGTAGAACTTATCTCAATCACGTGAAAATGATCGCTGCCAACGAATTAGCGGCCGATGTAGGAAGCGGAACCGTTTTGTTGGATTGTCGCCCTTTTCTCAGTTATAACAACAATCACATCGCGGGAGCTATAAACGTCAATTGTTCAGATCGCATCAACAGAAGGAGATTGCAACAAGGGAGGGTGCCGTTGTGGGATCTCGTGCCTTCGAGAGAGGGTAAGGAAACTCTAAAGAAGAATATTCTGGCCGATGTCGTCGTCTATGATGATTCCACTAGCGATGTGGACAAACTAAGTCCTTATCATCCGTTAGCCTTGGTACTTCATGCCTTGTGCGAAAACGGAGCTAAACCCGGAGTGTTAAAAGGTAAATAATAGCAAAAATTATATATTTTTTTAATAAAAATAGTGAACAGTTACTTAATAGTGTTATTTATCTTTGTTAGCTAATAAATATCTTTGTTAGTCAATAATAATAATTAAGTGTGTATATGTATATATATATAGCTTAGTAATAAAAAAGGGACAAGATGAGAATATGGGAATTTGTAGCTATTGCGTCAGTTCGAAGGTCACGGACAAAACAAAGACCCATGTGTGTTCTTCCTCTTGTTTTGCATCTTTCGTCATCTGGAAATGCTTCACTTTTTCTTTAAACATTTTCTCACAATAAAACATAGACCTGCTGATCATTTGGTTTGCGTTATATATAGCTTAAGCCAGTATGGAATTATAAATAGCAAATATACAATTTTTATCCCAAGTCGTTTACGAGTATGTATGATTATCTTTAGACTATATATGTAAGTTTATGAATGAAATTATATTTATTTTATACATTTAGATAGCGTTCTTAACTAAATAAATACAGATGGTAGATTTATCTAAGTAGCGAAATGCAATAATTCTGTTAGTAATTTTAATAATAATGATAGAATTACAATTATTATTATTTTATCTCTGAACAGAGCGATTTAAAAATGTTCTCAATATCTGCAGTTTTTTATTTTATTTTGTTGTTAAGATTCAACTTGGCTGGCATTTAAGTAAAAATTTCCGAAAAGTAAATATTAATTTGGCTAGTAAATGATCAATGGTTACGAAACTTAAATGGAGGGGAAACAAATACAAGTTCTGTTATTCGACAAACGTCATAACCTGTTACGTATTAGAATAGCGCCATCTCTTGGTCGATTGCGTAATTATTAGGTGAGAGTTGAGTCACGATATATAGTATTTTGCCGTACAAATGACCGAGCGACCACAACCTCTCAGAAGTCCATTAAGGACGGGCATTTGTCACCTGACCCCGTGCCATCCCATAAATCCCCTTAACTGCCGGGGACTTGTTCACATTATGCTTAGTGCGAATTACTGTCTCGAAAAGGAATAGAGCATTTTATACGGAAGGCTGTCATCGTTATTTCTCGCCATCAATTTCTATTGTAATTAATAGTATCGAAATAGAAAAAATTTTTAAAGAAATATTTAACATGTATTTTTACCCAATTTTTTTTAAGATAACTAAATAATAAAACAACGCACATGTGCATTGCGGAGACTAATTAAATTTTATTTACAAAAAATGCATTCTCACATGAAAATTGATAAATTAGTATAAAATCTATTTAAGAAATATTGATCAAATATATTTTAAAACTGTTATAAGCAGGGACATTTTTCGAATATTTCAGAAAGTAATTGTAATTCCTTAAATGAAATAGCAATTCTTTCTCAATCCGAGAAAATTCTTAATGAGAAATTATCAATATTTTTGTTTACTGAGACTTAAAAAAAATTCGGGGAAAAAATTAAAAAAAGAAAAGGTAGGTGTGTAGATCTTAAAGATGAAGAATTCGTGATGTTAACTCAAAGATATTAGTAAGCATCCAGGTCGAGTTGACAGAGAGCTATTTTTGGTTGTCTTTATTAGCAATTGGTTGGCCTAACCTGTATTCATGATTCACTGGAGAAACCATCAAAGATCCTTGCCAAAACATCTCTTGCATCGTTCTCTAAACATCTGGATTGTTTTTTCTTTTTTTAACACACGTTTTAAACTGTGTTTTTAAGCTTCGATTTGGTTTCATTCTCTCGTTGAATGAAATGAAATACAATATAGATTAATTATATATATATATTAATTAATTATATATATTAATTAAAATTATATATATATATAATTTTAANAATTGGTTACATTATTTCATATAATTTTAAATTTTTTAAAAATTTAAACGGGTTAAATTTTGAATTCATTGCGAGTCTCCTTTAGTATATTATGAAATATTAACTATAACCTCCCCTTATGAAGGACGGGGAGGACAATCGGCTTTCGATATATAGTACATATCGATGCGAAGAGCGGGGTGGGGCGGTCGAAGATCTTGGCCTCTCATCCATCACACTTTTGGTGTTTATCTTGTCTCTCCCTCGGGGGCCACGAGGCTCCCCACTCCATTAATTAGGGACCCATTAGAGCCTCGATAGTTGACGATTCTATCGTTATCGTCTCCCTCCCTTAGGTAGACCAAGAGACATGATTCACCGAAGCGACCTGACTTTTATTTTCTCGTAAATGCATAAAGGTTTTTTAAAATTTTTATACTTTCAGTATATTTACCATTGTAAATAGTTTAGCTACGGAGAAGTTAATATCATTTTTACATCGAATTACAATATACCTTTAATTTTGTTATTTTCAGTTTCATTGTACTGTTGTTCGTACTATTTTCTGTTCAATTATAGGATTCCAAGATTCAATATATAAGACTGCATTAAAAAAAAAAATAGGCAATAAATAATAAACTTAATAGATAGTAGAATAATAGTTTTAATAATATAACAGTAGCGATTCTCATGCTGGGATATTTGTACCGCAGGTGGTTGGAAAGAATTCCAGCGTTGTCACGGTGATCTATGCATTAGTACTCAACAAAGACCATCAGGAGAAGTTTGCAGCTCTCTCATCAGTCCTACCATGCCAGTTTTAACTGAATATGAACTTTTACCGAAAGCGGAGAACTTGGATGCCACACCAATCCTTCCATTCCTTTATTTGGGCAATGAAAGAGACGCATCCGATTTGCAACGTCTTCGCACGCTAGACATAAATTACGTTCTGAATGTTACTTCACATCTCCCCGGTTACTCGGAAGACGACGGAATTATTCATAAAAGATTACCCGCTACAGATAGCGGCCATCAAAATTTGAAACAATACTTCGAAGAAGCTTTTGAGTTCATAGGTAGGTGACATTCTGTCCATCGTATATTACTGCATGATCGTACTGTGTGTTGGCTTTATGAAATATTTGGTTTCTTAATCTATAAAATATAAAGGAAAATTTATAATTTCTTTAATTAAAGAAATTTAGTAAAAATGTTGTTATATTTCATAAAAATTCAAAGTTTGTTTACTTTTGGCATTCGAAAAATTGTTTCATAATTTCATTCATCTGCTCCTATTTCTGTCTTGACCTTAGAATGTCTGACTTAGATGATTCACACTGTTTACGGATTTGTCGACTTCGCTTAGACTCATTGCAAAGCGATTACGAAGAATTAGTTCATTGACTATCTTTTATTATTATTTTTTATGTAGCCTATTCATCATCGGGAAACAAGCTTAATTACGCTCCCCACTTTGGATGCATATGAAGTAATAACGGAAGCACATCATTAGCTTTGGTCAATCTAAATAACGTTTTTATTTTAGTCAGTCATGAAAAAGAAACAGCAGAAAATATGGGATAAACATTTTGTTTGTTTATTTTTTAAATATTGTGATAAAAATTGAATCTGCTATACCTTTAAAATACATTTTGTGAAATATAATTTCAAGTATTATTATAGAAAATTAAATCGATTCTTAACCCACGGTTTGGTTCGAAAAGAAATTTGCATGGAAAAGGAATTTTGAATAAAAACAACAATAATTTGCAGAAATAACTTAATAACGAGGAAGATATGCAAACTGCATTTAGAAATTTTGTTCTGAATCGTTGCACTCCAAAACATCTTTCTTGAAAAAAACAAGAATTCCTATTAAAAACTTCAACTTGGATATTTTTAGAATAAAGTATTATCAACAGTAAGTGCATGTTTATGTAATAGAAGAGTTTTTTTCAATGTAATTATAACCATAAACGAAACATTGACAGATATTTTCATTTTTTAATGGAAGAATATTTTATCAAAAATTCGGTTTCGGGCCTCGAGTAAAAATGATTTTGTGAAATGAAGTAAACAAATTCAGTTGTGCAATGAGTCAGATTCAGTTCTTTGTCCATCCTCTCATTTTACTCAGAAAAGAGGAGTCCCATTGTGGAGATTCTGACAGACAAGACCAGGAACAATGGGAATCCAGCTGCCTACCTGGTGGGGCGAAGTACGATCGCCTCTTTCCATCCCCTTTCTGGGCTTTCCCCTAACATTACTCATCCCCCATAGTACGCGACACGTCACTGGGTGAGTAACCTCACAGATGGCGTAAGTTTTGGTGACGGTCGCAAAACCAAGCCGACAATGAATCGTTTCTTCAAGCACGTGGCAGATTGGACATAACAGGGTCAGTTGGATGACCATCTGCTAAGTGATGTTTATTCTAATAAAACGTCGAACCATGTGTTGAATTAAGTCAACAGTTTCACGTAACTTTCTAATACTTTGTGTGATTGTTTAGTTGTCAAAATCTAGTAACTGAGCTACACTTTAAGACAACTTTTCCTCTTTTTTTCAAAAATAAGGATTATTTTATTTCATATTGAATAGAAATAAGAATAACCAAGCCGTTCGAAAGCTTTATCGCACCTAGAGAGAGAGAGAGAGAAAATATGATTCTGTTCCCACTGAAAAACTGTAGGCTATATGGGAACTTCCCGGTTTCACCGATAAGTCGGTAACTTCTATATACTAGTCTCATGGTTGGTTAACTCTTCAACAGGTAACTTTTTTATCGGCTGGAGTCTTTTCCCATAGAATGCACCTATGACTCATTTCTTGTACCTGCTCTACCTTCTCCCGACCGTCACGTGACGGCACCATTATCCATGTGAATCAGTGCTTCTACTGGTCTCTGCTGACGTCATCCAACTCATGATGATATACCTGAGGGGAAGGCAACGAAACAAATCAGCCCTGCCCCCTTTTTTCACACACCATGGTCCCTTTTTTTCGACCTATTGTTCAAAAATCTCGATCTCTCGTGACTCATGCTATTCTTTGGGATCAACAAAGACAGCGCATGCGTCACTGTGACGTGATTGTGGCCAGCTGGTATGATATCACCGAATAGTAAGTAACGTATTCCGTACGGGGTCCAGATATTCCATCTTCCTAAATCAATTTGCCAATGATAACGAGCCGCATTTCCTTTGATTTTCCGTACTTGCGCTCTGTTACGTCACATCGACAGTATAGGCATTTCGTTTAGCTCGGATTCCATCATGCAGTCAATAAATACCAATATCTTGTACACGGCGCAGACGACCTTTCCGTCTTAACTCGACAACTACGTCTACTATTCGTCCTCGCGTGAGTCATTCTCGTTCTGCCTTACCTTCCTGTCACACCTGGTAGTCACGTGACTAGTACAGCTGCTTCCGGTCTCGTTCTGATCCAGCAGGTGACGGGCAAGGACGGTTGGTTGGTGACTCACCTATGCAACGTATTTCTCGAAGTGTTGATGTCGATCTGCTTAATAAGCAATGCATAAACTTCCAAAGTTATTACGTCAATCAAACGTTTTGTATTTACATACGATCCATTTATAAAATAGGTTAATAAAATCATTCTTTATTAAATTGTTAGTGAATATACTGTAGCTAATTTTTTTCACATTTGTATTAAAATATACTGTTTAACTTGTAGAAAATGTGTAAGTAAAAATTAACAATCCTATAGAATTTTTGCTTATTCAAATATTAGTCGATTCATAATAATTTGTGTATATATATATATATTTTTTTTTTAAGTTCGTTTTAACTCCTGGAGTGATGAAAAAATAGTATCATTCATTCTGCTTACCTGTATTAGTCGATATTGACTTTGCTCGTTCAATAGCCCCATATATAAATCTGATTAAATTGTAATTAAGAGGCTGAAGGGGATACCGGAAGGGTTTCGACTTCTTAAAATTCCCAATAGCGCAGCAGGCACCCTTACAAACGATCATTTAATAGAGTTTCGATGACATCAGCTTAGCTTTTTGTCTGCAGTGGAACAAGCGTAACGGTCATTAGAAGTGATCTGGATGACTCCCTGCAGAGTCGATGCTTATCCCTCTTTGACTAAATATCTCTCGAGGGAGTGTTGGAATTCTCAATTGAAATGAACGATGGAAATACAGTTACTTTTCGCGCATACGTAATTTACTTTCAAATAAATACTCGAATTTTAGTTTTTAAACTGTGTTACTTTATTAAAGGTATTATTGTGTATTAAAGGTATAAGAGTATAAGAACTAAATATAAACATTCTTTAATAATTTGGCTTAAAAATAATTTTAATTTTTGAGAATTTTTTTCGAAATACTTATTCGCATTTTATTTATTTATTTTATAGATGAAGCTCGCAGGAATAATAGCAACATTTTGGTGCATTGCCAGGCTGGCATATCACGTTCTCCGACCATTACGATTGCCTATATTATGAGACATACCTTAATGAGTTTGATCGACGCATACAGGTTTGTGAAAAGTAAAAGACCTATCATATCCCCTAATCTGAACTTTATGGGCCAGTTGGTGGAACTGGAACAATCGTTGAGAACAGATAGCGAAGCGGACGGACCAGATTGTGCCTCTTACAAACAATGCAATGGAGAAAGGACTCCTAGTGCGCAAACCCCACCCGAAACAGGACCTAGTGTTTGACGCCCTCTATCGGACAATCGTTGGGTTAATATATATTGTGCCATATCCTCAAGGAGGACCAATGTACAGACTCTTACCATCCAACCAACATTTAAGCATGAAAAAATTCTCACCAAACACGTGATATCCTATCCATTCGACTAGATCTGATGTATATTTTTCATCATAATCGATAAATAAGTGTTGCAAACTTTCATGTTTGTAATACCCTATTTTCAAAAGCGAATTTTCCTTTTTTATAAAATTTGAAATTTAATTCGATCTCTGTCCGTCGATCCTATTTATACACTGTATATCCGATTAAAATTTTTATAATTATATAAACTTTCTCTTGTAGCAAATAGGAAACAAATAATTTAGGATATTTATGAAAGGAATGATACATATGTAACTATTGTTTATTTTATGCTGATTCGAGATATGACAGCTATTTGTAGCATATAAGTGCCTTTAACTTTATATTTTGTACGTTTAGAGACTTAAACCTAATTTTTTATTATTAACAGTAATAGGTACCGTCCGTATTCGAAAATGATTTGAAAAATAAATATGTAGGGTAGATATAGGTGCGATTATATGAATAAGTTAACTAGATAAGTCATTTATATAAAAAGTTGGAAGTAAAAGTTTACAACATTCGAATCTTTCAGGCTTGATTGCATTCTCAAAGACAAACTATTTTTGCAAGATGGTCACAGACTTAATATTTATGGAATTTTTGTATATAGATATATATATAATGATGTCATTTAATTGGCAATTCGCGAACTAATTTGGGATTCAAGCCTTGGGTTCGAATGCTTCAATATAAGCGGGTCCATAGTTAATCCAAAATTTTAACCAATCTAGTCTTCTGCATTCTCTTATAATGAGACTTTATTGTACAGTTGAGTATTTGTCCTTTTTTTTTTGGTACATGTAACGCAAAAAGGTTATATATGACATTCAATTGACAACAGTATTTTTCAAACAGAAGAATATAATAAAAGGATGATTCATTTTAAAATGTGTATTATGTCAATTGTTTTTTTAGTTTCAACATTTTTAATGACTGTAAAAGAAGACTTTTGCATTTCATTGAAATAAGTTGTAACGTAGTTTATATTACATAATTCGGTTGCTATAATATAATTCTGCATTGTTACAGAATAGACTAGTTTGAAAAATTATGCAAAAGAAAATTACTTAAAAACAATAATACAGTAAATACGGAAATTTTATCATAAGAAGGTCGTACAAAGTAATTTATTCTAAATTATAAAGTTAAAAATGCACTCAGATCTACTAATTCATTATTGTGTTCAATATTCAATACTTTCAATTGTATTCAATACCATTTAAATATTTTTAGTTTTTGTAATAGAGTTTAGTTTTTAAACTTACAGATTACATAAATTTCGACTATAATTCTCTTCATGTTTATTAGAAAAACGAAAAATTATTTTAAACTAAAAATATTCTAAATAAATAATCTAAACATATAAACAATTATTTTATCTAAAATTTTAAAATTTGCGTATTAATGACAGTTCATATAAAGAAATTGTTTGAAAAATAAAATTTTATTAAATAAAAAATAAAAATATTTAAAATAACGTTCGTTTTGATCTTAACTCTTCAACGCTTTTTATGAAAAATTTATGAAATAATTTTAACTTAAATATGATAGAAAAACTTCAGAAAATTGCAAGTATTTCTATTTCCGATAAGAATTTGCTTGGTTTCTTCTGAAACCTGAAATCAAATTCCAAAATTATGAAATTAGAAGCAAATTTATAATATTGAAACTCAAACGAATGTAAATAAATAACTTATATAAGCTAGAGTAATACAAAATGAAACAAATTGAAAAATACATTTATTCTTATTTAAACAAAAACATACACAAAATCACATATTCGCGTAACAGAAAAATTTACACATTGTGCAGCATATTTAATAATAAACATCGTGCTTGAAATTGTGAATAAGAACACACTCAAACAATTAAAACAGTTCAAGACTAAATACAGAGCTATTGTTTTAACTTTAAAAAGATTCGTATTGCTACTGGACCAAATATATTGGTTGACTAAATGACGAGTCGCGAATAAATAAATAAGTGCTGCTTACTGGTTTTCTGCTAGCAAATATCATAGACTGTTATTTTGTATTTTTTAATATTTAAAAAAAGTTACAAATAAGAAATTTAAGTTTTGAAGCTCCGCGGTTCACGCTTGTGCGGTGATCTACCACTGGTACTATTGTGTTTGGTAAACCCATCTCAAATAATGAAAGAGCTGATTACAAGTTTGTAATCAATTTAAAAAAAAGGATAAAAATATTTAGAAAAAAAGCTTAAACGAAATTCTAAACAAACAAATAAATAAATAAATATTTCTTTTGTTATAGTCTCTTTTACAAAAATGAAATATCCTTAGTTTTACTTACTTCATTTTCAAATTTTAATCGTTTTTACTTCAATAAAATTAAATTTCATACACGTTTATAATCTCTAAAATAAGCATTTTAAAGTTTTTATAGACTATATTGAAGTGATTTGTAATATTTTATAATATAAAAAATAATAATAATACAATTTCTTTTACAATTTTGAATTTCTTCTTATATCTCTTCCTTGTTTAATTAATAAAGTATAATAATTTAATTATAATTAATTAAAATTGTAAGTAAACTTGAATCGTTTAATTGCTTGTTTAAAATGAAGAATTCCTATTTAATTTCTTGTACCACGAATTTAATATTGTTCTAAATTTTTAAAATTATATTAACATTTTTTTAAATATTCAATTAATTTTTTTTCTAGATAATTCGTAGAATACTTTCTTTTATCTTTATGAGAATTTAAATTTTAATGTTATTCCTTTACTTCTTTAATTCTAATAAAATAAAATCATTATTAATTACAGCAAAGCTTATGCATTTATCAAGATTCCATTTATTCCTAATTGCAGATAACTTATTTAAAATGGCTAACGTATTTGATTTTGTGGAAATTTCTTTAAAAAAAATCACAAATTAGAATTATTATTATTTCTTGATTGTTATTAATAACTACAAACCCTCCTTTAGAAATTTTACAGATTATTTGAACTAAATTTATATTGTTTTAAGCTAAATTTCATTTATTCTATAAGTTGTCTCGGTATGTAACTTACGCAGTAAACTATTTGCATATTTATAAATTACAAAATATAACCTGTAACAAAATGAATTTTTCAAACTTATATACCTTTAGAACAGATTTTTATATATTGTTTTTGTTTTTCTAGATTAAATAAACCTAATCCGATTAAATTCTATTTTAAGCTTTTATCTTCGAGATGGAAATAGCAGGAAACAATAATTTTAATCGAAAAAATAAATAAATATATTTATTTACTAAAAATATTCAAATTTCCTGTTATAAAAATATAAAATATTTTCAAGAAACAAAGAGGAAAATTTCAAAATTTTATATACTAAAAACACTTTTTTGTTATATCCTCCGGAATTGAAAAAGCTAATCTCAAATTTAACGGGGCTTAATCGTTTGAAATATTGTAAATCTATTGGGAAAATAGTATCCGAAAAAAGAAAAAAAGACGAAGGGTTATCGTCAGCATTAAAAAAAGAAATTATAATGGATAGGTCATGGCCCAAGACGTGACTCACTATTGAAAGACATGGGGTAGAAAGAAAAAAGATTTATACCGCGATCGAGGAGAGCTTCATTCATAGGATTAAAGAAGAGACCGAACAAAATCGTATGAATATATAGAATAGGAAAAAACTAACATAGCACTGAAAAAAGAAAATCGAAAAGAATTGCCATTGTTGATATAGTACAATCGGATTCTGTACTAGAGTAAGAAGATTTACACATGCTTCATTACGTGATGTTCAATGACGTTCATTAATTGATTCAATTAATCTGAAATTATATTTAAAATAGTTTTGATTAAATATAATAAAAATTTAGTTTTAACAATAATTACTCTATTCTTAATCTGAAAATTATAACTTCTCTACTCGTACTCTTTCTCTTATCATTTTGATATTTCAAAGTAATTAAAATAAAAAATAGTTAACTGTCTTTGTAGCATAGAAGTGATGCGAGTATAAAATGTATTAGCAAAGTATTATTATTAAATTAAAATCTACGCGAGGTGTTCGATATCTTGACAGGTAAATTGAGTATTTCTAGAAGAACAGGTCATAAATTTTTTTTGTTTTTTTTTCTTGCTGGTACCCGTTATCGCTTGAATCTCGACAGCTGACTTTGCAAAATTCATGAATAGGTAGATATTTTTAGTGAATGAATTTAAATTGTGATGCAGTATTATTACAATAATGTTCGGTTTTAATCTATAAAATTATGATATTCATTGTATTTAGTTGAAACAGATATCAAAGTATAGTTTTATGTAGTTTATCCATAAACCAAAGTGTTATAAATAGAGATATTTGTTATCAAAAATGACTGAAAGATTTTTAAAGGAAAAATTCGAAACTTTCTTTAATGATATTAATATACTTAGCCTATATGAATTTGAAAAATACGAATTATTTTCGAACATCTCTATCATGATACTATAGATCACATTCTTATGAATTGCTCAATAAAAGGTCATTCACTTTGCAGTTATTACCGTTCTTTTAACTTCCTCGTATCTTCTACATTCCTGTTTCTTTGTAACATGTTTTGTATAAGAATTAATCTGTCAACCAGAATAAATCATTTACTCTTTGAGTGTATAATAAATTAACCATATGTAAAAAAACTTTTTAAGAATTTAAAGAATTTACAATGCTTTAAGTACAATCTTTCATCGGAGAGCTTTCTAATATGAATGATAAAATAAATATAGTATATATACTCTACGTATACTTTTTCTGTTACTCAGTTCAGACATTTATTTATATCAGCTTGCTTAGGTTTTATTTATTGTATGTCGAGAACAGTCTACACACAAGTTATCTTATATAAAGTTAAAAATGGAGTTATCAATAGGTCAATACATGAAAAGCAACCTGTTTATCTTTTGGGAACTTTTGTTTTCACATCAATCAAACGATTTCGAAATATTCATTATAAATAAGACTATTCTTTCTTCTTTAATCATAATGTCAACAACATCGTTTCTTTTCTAAGACTGAGTTTACTCATCGAGATGGGTCAAGTGCTACTATACTATAAATAGTTCTAACAAGCACAGATTGGTTTGGATGCGTTCCGAGTAAGTCGACTAGTTATGTTAAAATTATGTGTCAAATTCAGTGAATCTGTTTAATATTCAAATACGAAAAGAATTGAAATATTAAGAGTAATTAAAATATAAACTTATTATAAAAAATAAAATTATGTAAATTAATTAAAACTTAAAATATTGATCGTATAAAAATATATTGTTTTGAAATGTGATGTTAGGAACTCAGATGAAAAAGTTATCAAAAATATATAGTAATCGCAACAAAAGTTTTATTACTAAAATAAAATAAAAACATCTATAAAAGAGGCCACAGTCGATATATTTTCTTCCAATATTCAACGTTTATTAAATATAAACTTTTCTCAATTGTGTTAGAAAATGTTTATGGTTTTAATGTAAAAATTCTAAATAACTACCAGAAGAGAAACTATACGAACGTCTGTCAAAAGCGTAGCTTTAATTAAGCAATAACCTCTGGAGTTAGGCAATGTTTTCTTAACTTTGTTTATATTTTAACTTATATCGTGAGGTTGATCAATGTTAATAAGGTTATGAATCATCCATCAGTAAGTCTACACAACTATGAAGTGCGGATACAATCGTAGTATGGCATCATATAGACAGCATCAATATTGATAAGGAGAGAGCCTTGGGAGGGTGGCGCACATCCGATTCCCTCGTGGCGACCTGTCCCTTCCTATAACGCATTATCGCAGCCGATTTCAATGTGATCATTAGTTCCTCGATATAATCAGCTTTTGTTTTTAATGAGATGGTTTGTTAATGAATATTCGACCTCGTATTCTAAAATTCGCAGACTGCCGATAAGGGAATAAGATGGAAACATGGCTGAAAATGAGGTCCCACGACGGATTACTTTATTACAGTATAGAAGAATTAATTAGGAGGGAAGAAAAACGTTCCATTTATGGGTTTAATGAATGTTGCCATATTACAAGGGTCGCATGATAAGCGAGACAAAATACGATGATTAAATTTGTTCGAATTAACTCTTGGGATATTGTGATGTCGCGTGCGTTTTAATAAAGAAAAGAATGAAAAATAATCATTGTTAATTGATTCTTAGGAATTTTTTCGATAATTTGATAGGCCTATATCACATTTATTCATCTAACCTAATATAACATAATCTGTAATAATTAAATTAAGTACTATATTATTTAATATTACAGATTTAATTAGTTTGCAAAAATTTAAAAATAAAATAATGATAAATATAAGAATTATGGAATAAAATAACAATGTTTGGCTAAACGTTGTTATTTTATTCCATAATTCTTATATTATATACAAAATCGAAAATATTGATATATTGCTAATAAATAAACTCTTAAATAATTTCTTTATTATAAAAATAGATTTGATTAACATAATAATAATAATGAATAGATTAAATAGTTCATTATTCTTTCCAATTACTATGTAATATGACTAATCTGTTGAAATTAAATGACAATCTCAAAAATGACAAATTTTTTCGACAAATTTATATATAAATTCAGACGCGTTACTATGAATAAAATATTTTTTAAAATAAAATAACGTCATTAAATAAATTTTTTAGACTAAATTTTCAAACATTGATTATTCTTGTACTTTTCTGCATATAATAATGTTACATATCAACAATATTAGGCCTTTGCTTGAATTTTACAGCAAATTGATGACGCTTGTTCATAAAAGTAAAAGTGAAAACAAACGTCATCCTACTCCACTTTTCCTCTCTAATCATTTTATTCTTATTTATTACAACGTTGACAAATAAAATATTTATTTGACTATTATAAATAAAATAATTTTCAAATAATAATTAAGTTTAAATTAGCAAATATTATATAAAACACTTCTTAAGTGGTTTATTTTTATTAAGCTTCTTCTATCCTTAAGCTCTCGTATGAGATAGGAAAGATAAACAGTTATAAACAGTGAATGCTAGTCTACGTGGAATATACGAAGAACCACTTTAACGCTTTACGACATTAAAGTGCTTGGACATTAGCGACTCTTAACGATACTTGACATTTATGACGAAATATGTGCGTTTAAAATGAAAGTAATTATATAGAGGAAAACGCCAATCAAAACACAATTAACGGGATTAGGATATCGACTATTAATCTTTAACTAATATAGTAACATTTAATAATATTGATTGTAGTCTAAATGTGGATTACAATGATTGCTTCTAGCAACTTTTTTTTTTTTTAATAGCGATTATATGTATTATAAAAATAGCAGTAAATGTTTGTTTTTGAGTAAAAATATTGCACTGTTAACGTAAAAACTATCTAGATAAAAATAAGTTAAAACATCATAATCTTTTAAGTTTTTATGATATAAAATATTAATAATAATATTTCACTTGTAAAATTTAATGAAATAAAACTAGTATTTAAATATAATTGAAGAGATTTTTCAGAAAAAATTTACAGAAAATGAATTTAAAACTATAAATAGGCCTGCTTTATTTACAAAAATAATAATGAAATAAGTATGTAAAGATGGAAAATCGTTAAGTTACTAAAAGAGAGCACTCAATTTCATTTAAGTGAGCTTTTTTACATTTTGATTTTGTCCTTGTCGTAGTTTTCCGCCTTGCATACGATACATTAAGCGCCAATAACCACGAAAACAGTGTATAGTCATCGTTTGACCATTCATCATAAGAACGTAAAATATTAGTATTTGGCACGGTCCGATAACTCTGTCAGCAGTCGACTTTGCTGCGTCATTGGTGGTTTTCGAGTGAGTTTGATCGATCGTTACTTGAATTCGAAGAACTATTTTTGCCACTAACTGGAAGGCTCCCGCTTTGAAAAATCTCATAAACGACAATGTAGGCACAGAACATGGGATTTAAAAATCGTTAATGCACTTCTTATACTTTTTATTAATATATTTTTGGCAAAGTGAGAGCGTAAAATTGTATAAAAACAACTATGCGACTATCATTACAAATTATTGTAATAAAAATGATACGGTTATAAAATAGCACATTTTCTTGGAATATAAATATAAATTTTCATTTATGACTTTGACTATTACTTATAAACAGATAATATTTTAATGAAATATTAGTTTGCCCGGGCTCCGACAGAAAAGATTAAAACTGTTTCCATCTAGAACTGACGTCATTCGGAAAGTATGTACCAAATCACACACTTTAGTCCGGTTTACAGGAGAGGCTCGCTGCAGAACCTTCTTACAAAGCCCGACGTCCTTGTTCTGTCATGTCTTTGGCATGCGAACGCCAAGTCGTCACACAGTAGACGTCCTTGACCTCGGGAACGTTCAACAGGTATCGTCTGGGGTTTGTTTGTGCACAGACAAGATCTTACAAACATTTCCACCTGAAAAAATTATGCATTAAATTTAATCACTAATACAGTTAACACACCTATTTTTTTTCAATCGATGTTCCATCTTAGATCGTGCAAAACCACGAGAAGCGTTCTGCTACATCACTTTTACTACAGTTTTAACTCTTTTATGTTTACGTTACAAAATCATGTAAGAATGTGCGAGTGAACACCAGACTAAAAACATTCCCGTGTTTGTGTTTAATTATAAAATATATTTAGAAAATAGAACAAACAGACTTGGAGTTCGGAGTTAACAATGCTGTTTGCAATGCATTAAATTATGATAATTAAAATAAGTGATAATTACAATTAATAGAATATTCATCAACGAGTACATTTAAAGGTTTACCTTTTCTTACGATTTTTATTGAATCAATGCTCAAGGTTGTCCGGACATCGCCTTCGTGTTGACACAGTTTCGTTCATTTTCTTGAGTAGCTACAAGGATGTAACAGAATAATTATATCGGACCACACCCAATCAGAATATAGTTAAATACGTTACTAAAAATGCGATTAAATCTTTTTTAAAAAACTCATTTTGGCTTACATAAATAAAGATTTACTTCTTTTATGGATACTTGTAATTAATTTTATTCTGAAATGTCTATAATTAATATTTTTATATAGTTTATGGTTCGAGGTCAAGTTATTAATTTTTGATAAATATCTTTGCATTTTAATATCTATACTTTCTAATTAATGTGCACTATTTGACACTACTATTTTTCATTATGCAAATTAAAATTTTCTCCTGTACATCTCCAATTTTTTTGCTTGCTTGCCATCAGGTAATCAGTATGCAATAGATACTACATAATAAATTAAGGTGTAGGAGTTATTGATAAGACTGACCGACGCGAAAAAAACGAAAATTTTACAGATTTAATATGTAAGACGCATTCCTACCCACATCTTATTTAATAATATTGTTTATGATCTTATAATTAATTAAACTGTAAAGCTATTCTGAAAGTTTTGATCGTAATTGTGATATAACAAGTAATGATATTTACATAATAAATAAAAGTTAATTTTAAAATTTATGCTGAAAAATTCTTTTGCATAAGAAAGTTTTTCTTTTTAATGTAAAATAATTTAAAACTGAGCACGAATTTATATATTTTATAAGAATAATTGCTTTCAAGGAAAGTATATAATTAAGTTTAAAAAATTTGTTGAAAGTTAAATATTCTATAAATAAATTTAAATGAAAATTTAATAAAGTGTGTTCATAATCCATTTTTAAAATTTCTTTGCCTTTTTAATGCACTATTTTTAATTTATTTAGTTGTTTAATAAATTAAAATTTAAATTTATTATATGGAATTTAAGATGCTTTAGTAATCGAGATAACATGAAATTAAAAATCGATTTGTGATGAACAATCTGGATCAAGTAAACAGGCAATAAGACGTCCAAGAAATGTAGCAAGTAAGAAAGAATCGGTGAGTCATTGAGTTAACTCTCTCTCCATTGTAGGTCACCGATGGGAGGGAAGAATGTGACGTCACCGAACTCAGGTTGTTACCATGGAGATGGCACGTGCCAAGCCGTCTGAGTTTCGATGACCCAATAGCAACAGAGCGAAGAAGAGAATCAAGACACAGGCCCGGATCGGAAAATGGGACACTTTTATAAGAACAAGATGGCGTACCCGTAAAGACTATTATGCCCTTTGCAAATTAATAAATTCTTTCAAGCGGAAACACAGCGGGAGAGTAAAACGGATAATCTTCATCGTTCATTATCAAATAAATTCACAATTTATATGCTGGAAAAAAAGGGGAAAAAATATTCACGAAGATGCATTAATCATTATTTAAGATATGATATATTTTTTTCAATTATAATCTTCTTATATTTTTAATAATATCCATATCTGTCGAAAGTGGAACGTATGACTAATACCAAAGTATTTTCGCTAGTAAATAAAATATAGATGAAGTATCAAGGTAAACAGATATTGTGTAAAAATTTATTTTTATGTGGTTTGTTTAAATTAACTAATTTCAAAATTATTGTATAATTTAACTCCATTTAATGTGCAATTTAATTTATATCCAAGCGTAAGTTTAAATATTTATTGTTAAATTTTAACTTTCTATATAGGCTAATTGTTTAATTGCGTGCTTGTTTATACATATAAAATGTTGTTATTGTTTAAATGAAAAAAATGCTCAATCGAGATCAACATTGCGATAATTATAATTAATGATTAGATTTCTACACTCCGAAATAAACACATAAGTTATAAATTTTGCTTAACTAATGCATAGAATACATCTACAAACCATTTATGTAAATTAAAGATCTTATTGTTTAAATGAAAAAAATGCTCAATCGAGATCAACATTGCGATAATTATAATTAATGATTAGATTAACATATTGAATAAATCTTTAATAACTGTAATGATACTGTGGATTTTCACATATGATGCTGTTCAAGCACCATCACTTGTCAGAATTTACAACGTAAGTTGATCTTCGCAGATATTACAAAAGCTGTCTCATATGGTCAGATGCTTTAGTAGATCGTTTATGTGTCGCTACGTAATGCAGCAACACTTAGTCAAATTGTCTATGAAATACCTTTTAGAAATTTTTTACACACAACAAGCTCCTGTTTAGCTGCTATAAGCACTAAAAAAATTTAGAAAACTCTATTCAGCTAATTTGGCACGAAAAAATATGAGGGCATTAATGGCTTACGGACATGCTGGTTGCATAGAATTACTGGTGTTTTTTTGTGTCTAACATGTAAGTAAAGGCCTCTTTTTTATAGAATTTTTTCCTCGATGGCATCTTACTTTGGTTGATCACCTTTGTGTTGCGTTACCTTAACACGTCTAATTAAACTACAGTAGAGCCTCGATTATCCGACCCAATTGGGGATGGGGTTGGTCGGATAATTGAAAAGTCGGAAAACCGAAAGGTATGAAAAAATCCACTATTATTGTTGTATATTATTATATCCCATGTAATTAGTATATTAGTATATTAGTCTATCGCTATTAACCTACTTCGCGTTGAATTTTCATCNTGTAAATTAAAGATCTTATAAGATTATATATATTTAAATAGATCTACTGAAATTCACACTTTTATTTTGCAAAATGTTTAAACATAACAAGGAAATGCATTTATTATGTAACAAATTGAGAATTTTTAATGCAAAGTAAAAATAAAAAATATTGAACACTGAAATGAATAAACCACAATTTAATCAGTAATCAAGGAAATGTTGGTCAGTTCACGAAAGGTATTAAAAAAAGAATTTTTTTTTTCTTCGAAGAAAATAGTTACCTGATATGTTGTCATGCAAGGCATATCGCAATAAGAAACTCCTGGATATTTCTTCCTTGACAAGAACCAATTGTCGACGGTTGGTTTAACAATCACAAAACTTTCCTTATGACTCATCACCTAGAATGGGATTCTGGTCTAGCAATAGACCTCTTAAGATACTCGAAAATAGTCAAGCACCATCGGTAAATTATAAAAAAAAGAAAAAAGAAACTTAAATGTAGCATATGTCGCATAAAAAATTTATCTTCCTGAGTTTTTTAATCTTCTTTAATTGTATTAGAAATTATATAAAATTTGAAAGTTTGCGAATTTTATAACTAGTATGCAAAGCGTGTGTTTTTTTTCTTTTTTAGCATTATTAAAACATTTATTGCATTTCATATACTTCCTAATTCTATATACTTTACTATAATTTAGCTTAATTTTATTCAAATTAAATTTAGGTCAGTGTTACTATTTTGATTAATAAATTAAAATTTGCAGCATAGAAGTTAGTTTTTTTTTTTTTAATTAATCTTATAACGGTTTAATGTTGTATGTTTCGTCTATTTATTTATGCATCTTCGACAGCTCCAATAAAAATAAAAATAATAATAATAAGCAAAACGCAAGATATTTCGATTAAATTTTGGATAAAGATTAACAAGAGATAATAGGCAGCATAGAAGAAAGTTTTTTTTTTTTTAATTAATCTTATAACGGTTTAATGTTGTATGTTTTGTCTATTTATTTATGCATCTTCGGCAGCTCCAATAAAAATAAAAATAATAATAATAAGCAAAACGCAAGATATTTCGATTAAATTTTGGATAAAGATTAACAAGAGATAATAGGAATGTAAAAAGAAAAAATATTATCATCTTTATCTTATACTTGTCTCCAAATTAATATATCTGAAGAAGTTCATATCAGTTAAAATGTCAAATTAATTCATCTATTTTCTATCATATTAAGTCAATAATTTTCATTAAAAGTTTTAAAACTTTCAAATTTTGAATACAAAAACTTGTAATAAATAATGCAATAGAAACAGCTAAAATGTTCACATTAATATATAATTTATTTCAATTTATTATTTCTAAAATTTTGCAAAAATTAAAAATAATTGATCAGTTAATGGAATACAGTATTAATTATAGTATAGGTTGCGCAGTCTAATTACAAATGGTTTCTATTTTGTATTTTTTGATTTAAGAATTGCAAGATTAGTGGCAACGTTGACAATAATACGAGCTTAGTTTCGTTTTATAAGCATTTAAAAGTTGATTCATCTCGAACAGGTGCGCACCTATCTGCAATGTTACACTGTGTCACAACGTTACACGCTCCGTTTCTTATTACTAAGCCTATCACGTGGTCCAGGGTTTGCATTACATTTAGTCCGAACCTTTAGTGACTCACCCGTCGATTATCTGAAGTTTGCGAAATTATATTTCGTGATAATTTCGTATTTAAAAAAGATGAAAGACGAAGGAATTCAAACTAATCTGTTGAATCTTTAGTCGCTTGTCCCGCCATCTAGTGGGCATTTTTTCATCCGAATGTAGAACCATCAGAAGTATCGATTGCTGACTTTGTTTCTGCTATCATCCGTTAAATTTAATCGTATTTTCCATTTGATGATAACAGATGCTTAAATCCTATTATCGAAAAATTGATGAATATAAAATTTGATTTATTTTTATTGATATGGATATACTATCGAAATCAATAGAAGGCTTAATAGATTAGCATAAGCCCACTTCTGAATTATTTTTTCAATAGATTATATTTCGAAAATACTGTTTTGTAAATATTTTCTTATTCAATAAGATAATTATTTTCGAATAATATATTTGCTTTACACTTGTAAACATTTCAGGAAGAATAAAGCATTTAAATTTCATATTTTAAGAAAAAAAAACAGACTAAATTGACAAAATTTTATCAGGAATAATATTTATTATTAAATAGTATTATTTAATAATTATTTTGCTTTAATATTGTCTAGACTTGTAAATTTTTAAAAATAACTATAAAAATAAAATGCGGACCTACATAAAATGCAACATATTATAAACAGATATTTTTATAAGCTAAATGTGTATGTGTGTGTTTGATAATTGCGTTTATCCATATTAAAATATCAAAATGAAAAACGTATTTATTTCTGCAACCGTTACATAAATGCAAGTAAAGAATACTTTATTTAAATCTTATTATTTAAAAGAAAACTTTATATTATGTGCATAAAACTATTTATAAAACAGAAATTCATCAGCGTTAATTATATTATAATTTTATTGATAATTAGTTTTCTAATATAGCAATTTAAAAGTTCTAAACCAAAATCTATAAGTTGTAATTCTTTATTACAGATTGAATTTCTTATTGGTTTAAATTTATAAATAATCTTTTCCATTTTAAAAGTTTAATACTGTTTATTTCAAATTGAACTTAAATATTTTTAAGTTAATTAATAAATTGTAAAATCTTAAATATTTTATTTCTTAGTTATAAAGGTACGATAACAATATATCGCAAAATATGCATTTTTATTTATGAAATTATAGATTTAATTAAATTTCCCTCAAGGAATTTCGAATGGATAAAAAAAATACTTTATGTGGCTTATTATGAAAAATATTCTATCTAAAATTCGAAGCTTAATTTTAAAATATTTAAAATTTGTTTTTAATATTATAATTTAAAAACTTATACTTAATTTTTTGCTATTTGCAACTGTTGATTTCTGATTAAAATACATTTTACATATTCATGATTTAATTAAGAAAATAAATAAATCAAATTAATTACATTAAATAAGTAAATCATCACGTTACATTAAATTACACTCAGTGCGATTTGGGTATTGAAAAATTCTAAGAATTATTCGATAATTCATGAAAATGAATCTACAAACTAATTAATTTAATATTTTAAAGATTTTAATAAATTTCTTTAACGATTTATTTAATTTATTTATCAATCTAAACTCTTTTTTGTAGAATGATTAAACATTAAAATACTGCTAATATTGTTTGTTAGACTGTGTCTGTAATCAAATGAATCTTAAATGTAGATTTCTTTGAACATATTTTGAAATGTAATATTTATTTTACTTTCTGTAATATTGTTGGAGACAAATATTTAAATAAAGCCTGTAAAGTTTCAAAAGTTTTAAGTAAATATATGAAATCTGATTTCTTTGAATTCTAAGAGATTTAAACAAAACAGCATTAAATCTGTTAATGAAAAATAACCAAATGGAATTATCTTCCATTACATTTGAGACAAATGGGACAATCTGAATACTCACATTCATTAACTAGAAAATTGTTAGGCTATATACGGTCCTGGATTAGATTTGGAGCCCCCTCTATTCAAAGTTCCATGTAGATTACGTTTAAATTTATAAGACGTTCATTTTGCTGTATATTACTTTATTATAACTTAAATTACTTCTTTAAGGTATTTTAAATGTTTAGTTATTCAATTAATAATTCATTATAAAATGCATATACTATACAATACAGGGGAAAAAACGTATCAGATAAGAATTTTTTATTCGCTTCAATAATTATTTGACTTTATTGAATTAATTAACATGCTAAATTATCTGATACATGCAATATCGAAAGTCGTTTAACTTTTTTTACTTTCATTATAAGGAATGAATAATTTAATTTTAAGCAATAGGTCTATAAATTATCAGAAACTAAAAAGAAAATCAGTAAGAGGATTTATTAATTTGAAACTACGAAGTAAAAGTTTGAACATTACTAGTTCTAGTCGCTTACTAACAAGTAAGACGAATTCTTAAGTTTTGTATTATTTACGGTTATTTTATATCATCTGATTACTGTATTACTCACCCATTTTAATGTCTGTTTCCTAGAAATAGCAAGCACTTCAAATATAATATAAGATATGCCTTGCAATCAATTATGTGTTCTGTCTAGTTTCATTTTTCTTGACACGATATTAACATTTAAAATTAGTAATAGACCTACTTTAAAGATTCAAATTCTTTAAAAATCAAATTCTAAATGTGATTACTACGAAATCTTATGACGTGAGAATAATGCTTAGTGGTGTTACACAAATATTTAAGCTATGTCTTTGAATTGTAAGTAACGTACTGTACAGTACAATCCGAGTTTAAATTTTGCTTTGGCTTACAATAGACTATTTTATGCAACGGTTGTCATTCTTTCTCACACAATCGTTAAATATAACATGTAAGATGTAAAGAAATTCTTTTGGTTTAGAATGGCAAAAGTATTCTTAACCTGTGATTCATTCGGGGCTCGAAGACCGAATATCTCAAAGAACTGTCTTGTATAACCGTGATTCAAACATTAGTCATCGCACGAGGTGGGAACAAGATGAGCGTTTCTGGGGTGGAAATCGGGGACTTTGTTTGGTTTCTCCGAGCAAGAGATCGAGAGAAAGGGGCCGTCTCTTCTGTCGGTGTCCGTTTCGACCACGTGATTCACTGTCTAGACCCCTATAACCCCTTTTCCCAACCACTCGAGTTTCCCGCTCGTTGGGGGTAGAAGCAGTGCAGTCTTGTAAAAGACAGGATACCATTAATTGACGATTACTCGCTTCCCCTCTCTCCCCTCTACCCGCTAACGGACAAAATCGGCGCGAAAGACGAGAGGATAGTTGAGTCATTCTTGGGTGTCCGCACCGCGCCAAACTTGTCAATCATCGATACGGAGATAGAATCTGGATAGATCTATGGTCGATGAATACGACGATGTCAGCTATACATTCAATGACTCTTCTCGTTGAAAGTAATCGATACAAATTGTGGAATAATCGCTTTAATCCATGCTTCAATCGATTTATAGCGAATCTTCGATTAACTATTTTAGTCATATTGGCTGATTGCAATCTATTAATGGTGCATGTGCTTATATAAGACTGACCGACTTTGGTATTTTTATATTGGATAAAAATCGATTTAAAGAGCAGTTTTAGAAGAGCTTTTATTATTATTGAATTATTTAAGATAATTTAAAACTCTAATTTTATAAACATTTTGTTTTTAAATCAATGATTTCTTTATATTTATCTCAAAGTTGTTAATTTTATTTTGTCAGAGATTTAAACTATAAATTATAAATCAAAGC